CTATCTATCTATCTATCTATCTATCTAGTAGCTACTAAGCTATATTAGCTAACGTTAGTAGTAAAATGTGCACTATCTATCTATCTATCTATCTATCTATCTAGTTAGCTACTAAGCTACCTTATTAGCTAGTAAGCAACACTTTTTCCTATCTATCTATCTATCTATCTATCTATCTAGTTAGCTACTAAGCTACCTTATTGGCTAGTAAGCAACACTTTTTCCTATCTATCTATCTATCTATCTAGTAGCTACTAAGCTATCTTATTAGCTAGTAAGTAAAACACTTCCTATCTATCTATCTATCTATCTATCTATCTAGTAGCTACTAAGCTATCTTATTAGCTAGTAAGTAAAATGCTTCCTATCTATCTATCTATCTATCTATCTATAATAACAGGGTATTAAAGCACAGTACAATAAGTTATGGTACATATCAGTGTATATCGCACATATACAGGGTTTTCTCCTTAGATGCACATGCACATGTCTTTTAGCTTGGTTATTTAAAGTTTAATTCTTTAATGGCACTTGGGTAAAAGCATGTTACACAGTTATCAGACACATTAAATCCATTATATAAACACATCCAAAGGGAAACCATTAGTCCATAAAACACTGCACATTTCTGAGGTTTTGTATGCACAATATCACATACCCAACACACAAATGTCTACCCCCTGATCCTGAGGACACAGTCACATGTGACTTTCATATCTGCCATCTGCATTCCTCATTCATTCCACCATGTGTGAGGATACCCCTTTGTGTTAACACACTGTATTTACTATCTAATGTGCTGAGTTGTTCTGCAGCTACTGGATGAGTAGATTAATGTGTTATGTTTCTCTCGCGTTCCCACGTCCCAGGTGTGCATACCTCCATTACTGTATGTGTGTGAGACTGAGGCTGTGATATATCACACTTACCTGGCAGCTCACTGAGGAGCTCCACAGGAATTTCTTTGGTTTCCTTGGTGAACTGTAAAACAGTGGCACTGACAAAGTGAGGTATCATTTTTCAGACTTGTGGAGACAGATCTGTCTGACACACACACACACACACACAAGCACAGACAGCATGTACTGAATTCGACTGAGTAACCCCCTTTGTGGGGACTTAGTCAAAGCACCTGAAGGCCAAGCAAAAACAGCTGAGTTTTGTGAGGTGGAATCAAATATGCACTGTGCCGGGACATGTATAGCTACAGGGTGATGTGGGTGAGTAAACACTGTTGGTCACGGACATCCCCACAGTGATGAGGTTTCTTCATCCTGATACTGTAGGAAGGAGGAAATCACTGAAACAAGAGAAAATAGGTTTTTAAAATTACTACACACAATTTCTCATTTGGTTTGGACACAATTTATGAGCTTTATAGAGCCCCACCCTCTCAGTGTGAGCACAAAAGCAGGTGTTGCACTGTGTGTAGTGGTGTATTCAGGCTGTTATTCACATCTTTGTTTTTACTTTCATTGCATTTATTTGTGGAAGCCCTGAGAGGCAAGGCAGAGAAAAAATGTGGGCAAGGCTGGCCAAGTTTATTTCCTACATACGAGATAATGGGCCTCATGCAGCAACATTCTCTTACATTTCTCTCACATTTTCTTTTAATTTTCTGACAAGAGAAGTCAACTCCAGATGCACCAATTGTTCTTAACCATGTATTTCTGCTCTTACCCAGGTCTGCTGGATGGTGAATCCCACTTGATCACCAGTAAACTGTTAGCATAGGTAACACCCCCTAAACACTCTTTAATTGCAGGTGTTGTGCCATATACAAAGACTCTGGCACAGGACCAAGACTGCAGAGATGCCACCAACAAAAGGGCTGTAAGGAGAAGAACTAAAAATGCAGCAATGACAAAACATTTGCAGTATCACCAGCAGTGGAAGAGCAAGTATTCACATCCTTTACCTAAGCAAAAGTACCACTATCACACTGTAAACATAACAAATAATAACAACACATTTATTTAAATAGCACTTTTCAAACAGATGTTACAAACTGGATCACAATGAGGTATCTGTAAATAGTTAAGTGGTTAAAAAAATGTGATAAAAACAAATACATATGCATAAATGTGTATTGATATGT